TTTATATATATATATATATATATATATATATATATATATATATATATATATATATATATATATATATATATATATATATATATATACATATACAAATTCCCCCTGTACAAACCAATCCACTGCCTTGTGGCATCTATGAGAAGAAAAGGCTTCGGGAGTCAGCCCTGAGGAACCGGAGCCGGAGTCCCTAAGGTAGTTTCGTTGGCGACCTCGTTCTGGCAGCTCCTGCGGCGCCGCTGGGGCCGAACTGGATCGGTCTTTGCCATTCCTTTTGATCCATCAGCTGCGTGGAGAGAGGGAGCATGCTGCATGAGCAACATGCTTATAAATACAATACATACATATATATATAGATATAGATATATATGATATAAATATATATATATATATATATATATATATATATATATATATATATTATATATATATATATATATATATGTGTTTATATGTATATTTATATATCTTATATATATCTTGTATATATATAAAATATATATATATATATATATATATATATATATATATATATATATATATATATATATATATATATATTTATTTATATACAAATATAAAATATATAATGATATATTTATTTATTTATTTAGTTATTTATTCGCCTCCGACTGGGGTGATAACACCTTGTGTAGCCATGGTATCAAGTTCTTTCTTGACAGCGCCAAGCCATGTATGAATGGCAAATGCCTACTCATCAGGCTTGGTGTGTATGGTCATGGGGTTACCTTGTATACTTTTCAGCTGTTTCTCATTTTTGAAGTCTTGAGGGACATCAATACATCAGCAAATTCTGTAATGAAGCATTCACGTGCTGCTTCAGGAGACAGTGTTAATAGATGTTACGTGCTATACGCTGTACTTTTATGTAATGTCATTGTTTGCTGGGTGAGGCTGCTGTATATATTTGGAGAATCCTTGACGGTGGCATTTATTAGGCAGCAAGTTAAATTTGATGAGTGGGGTTTAGGATAATGTGAAGGTAAAATGCCCAACTCTCGGGAGTGATACTAAGATAAAACAGCTTTGGGAAACCCAAGAACTTCCATGTCAGCTTCAATTGCATAGCTCAGCATAAAATCAGTCAGTGGATTCCATTCTTCTGTCGTTTGCTGTATGCAGGTTAGCAGGTGAAGATGGCAAAATGTGTGTCATGTCCATACCTAGCTGCTTGAGGCGATGAAGACCAATTACTGTCATCTCTGAATCAGAATCATGAGGTGATTACTGCCTTTCTTGCAAGACACCTGTAAGTCAGCGACAGGACGCTGGGTCGTGCAGTGTGTTGAAACACATACCTTGTATGTGCGTGACAAGTTCTCTGTAACATATGCCAGCAATAGTGAAGTCGACTAGACATGTGTAGACAAAATGAAGGAAGTTCCGCATCTTGTGCTAATTGGCTATGTACATAATGCTTCGAAGGCTTGACACCGGTAAGATTGACGACATATGTAGGAGTCATTGAGAGGCAACGCAGAGTCGAAGGTCAGTGGAGTGGATAAGAGTGTTCTTCATATCATCACTAAGGCAACGGCGAAGATGCGCAGCCTGGACAGGTTGTAGTTGTGTCTGAAGTCCCATGGAAATAGCAGTCTTCCCATGAAGCTCTCCAAGCTTCATATGTCCGTAAAGAAGCCTCAGGTTCTAGAGGTGCTGTATGAGGAAGCGCCAATGTACGGTGATTACATGTAACAGCTGGAGTGACATGCTGCATAGGGTGTAGCCTGTCAGTGAGTGCTTGGAAAAAATTAGCTTCACACTCCATGCGTACGTGTTCTCTCTTTCCTTGTTCTTGTTCCCTGTGCTTTTCACGCTCCATTCTTGCCTCCTCCTGCTGTGTGAGATGTTTTGATAACTCCAGTGAGGGCAACAGTTGCTGTATTTTGTCTAATTTCTTGCTCTTGACAGAATTAGAAATCTATAACTGCAATCTATAACTGGTAAATGATCGAAAACAGTTCATCCGCTTCAGTTTCCATTGGCCAAACTGTCATGAAAAAATGCCTGAAGAGTAGAGGAAGAGGCAAGTAAGGAGTGAATGGTC